TACGATACTAAATCCGAATCCGAATCCGGCGGATACGGATGCGGATTCGGATATATCCGCATCCGATGGAGCATCCGACTAGTAAAAAATCCGAATCCAAATCCGTTTCTAGATTCGATAAAACATCCGATTCATAAGGAAAAACCGTATCCGTATCCGAAAAAAACATCCATCCGAATATCCGAATATGTAATATGAAAATCTAAAAATCTAAAATCAACCAAGCACAACCAAAATCTTTAAATCCTTAACCAAGTTTCTGAATCTACAAATCAAACAACAAAATGATTTGACCTTGCAACAACCAACACAAATTGTAAAACATGCGGGAAGGTGGGATTATTTCTGGTGAGAGTGAAAAGTAGGATTATTTTTGAAAGAGCACTAAAAGATGGGATTATTTGAGATAATTTTTCCTAAAAATATTAATTAGTCTAAACTACGGATAATTTTTTTTTAACTACGGATAATTTTTTATTACCTATATTCGGTATAACGGATCGGATATGCGGATATATAAACGGATGTATACACGGATCGGATCAGTAATTACCAAATCCGCATCCGTTTATCAATCGGATGTGCTTAATCGGATACGGATAATATCCGTTTAAAACGGATGCGGATTTTTTTCATTTAAACGAATACGGATGCGGACGGTAATCGGATTTCCGGTTATCCATTTACACCCCTATGGAGGAGTAATACTCCCTCCGTCCCGGATCAAACTTTCCGTTTGTTTTTCACAAAATTTATAAAAACTAAAATTATTTGTTTCATTTGTAGATCACTCAATTCATTCCTTGAATGAAATAAGAATTTTTTTTGAGACAATTCAACTATAAGAAGAATGTTCGTAAGAAGTTTATTTTGGGATACAAAGAGTATAATACTCCCTCTTTAACCTTGAATGATGTAATGCTGTTAAATCTACTCCTCAAGTGACTATGTTCATCACTTTTCAAATGACTTAGTGTTTGAAAAAACAAATATGCTCTTCGTTTCTTAAAGCACTTTCTCTTTACTTTTCTTTGTTTTCTCCAAAATATTTCTATTTTCTATTAAAAAAACCACTTACGCCTCTATTTTTTCTTATCCAACCTATCACATATACTTTTTCACTAATAATCTATCTATCGCATTTTACCCATTATATTAAGAAAAAAATTGGAAAGTCAACAACAAATATACACTATTTATTTCTCTTTCTAGTCAAAGTAGCTAGAAATCGTTTTATGAAAGGGAGGGTGTAGAAAGAAGTGAAATGCAGGTATCAATTTCTTAAAAATCAATTGGATTTAGCAATATAAGGGGTGGATTGAGTACCACTCATTCTTTATACTTGCCATTTTGTTCCCCTATTGCATTCTTTATACTTGCCATTTTGTTGCCCTATTGCATTCTTTATACTTCAAAATTTAGTATATTACTCCCTCCGTTCTCAAAAATACTTTCTCTTTCATTTTTTTTCATTTCCAACAAAACACTTCCACTTTCTATTAAAAAAACTACTTTTACCCTTACTTTTTCATACCTTACCTATCACATCATACTTTATCTATAATAATCTATCCATCACATCTTACTTTTACCTATCACATCAAAGGTAAAATTGGAAGTCAACTACAATTTAATACTTCCTTATTTTTACACAAAGTCAAAAGAAGAACACTTTTTTCAAACGGAGGGAGTATTAATTAATATTTAAACAGTCTCGTTTATATTACCTTTCTATAGACCTTTAATTTCACACATAAGAAAAGTAACTACAATTCGTACATTTGTCTAATAAACTCGGTGACGAAACCGTTTGTGTTACTACCTCCGTCCCTGAGTATTTGTCTAGTTTTGACTTTTACAAACAAAATCGATAAACTTTGACCAGAAGTTAAACAAAACCGATATTAGATTTTTATACAAAAATAATTATATTAGATTTATTTTGTAGTATTTTGTAAATATTATTTAATCTAATTAATACATCATAAAAAATATATTTAAGTCAAGGTCAAATGTCGAAATTAGTTGAATGCTAAAAGTTCAAAATTGGACCAAAAAAACAAATGGGAAATTAAATATTGTGTGGATATTTGGTAAGAGGGAAAATATGAAAAAGTGTAATGGGACATCCGAAAAGTAGCAAAGTATTTAGGGAGTGAATGAGGAGAAAAACACAAGAATGATTTGGGTCTGACTTCCTTGCTACTATACCCTATATAAGGACTGGTCCCTCTCTTCAAAAGAAGCAACCCTAAGCAACCGTAGAGTAAAAAAGAACCTTCTGTGTTTTCTTGCCTCTTTTTTCTCGGCCAAAAATCATTTCTGGTTTCTTCCTCTTTGGTGAAACTTTCCTTCTTGGTTACAATGCAGTAGTAGCATGAAAAAAGGAAGTAAGTAAAAGAAGAAGAAGAAGAAGGGGACAGAGAACCTTTGAACTTACCCTTTTGCCGGCCACTTGTTTGTTTCATTCAATTCTCTATACCCCTTGCTTTCCCAAAACAAACAAGAACCTTTTTTCAAGCACCAAAATGGAAGCTTTCCACCATCCCACCACATTTGGCATTCCATTTCCATATGGCTTCCCAAACACAGCAGCTGTGATGAACATCTGTGGTGGGCCCCCCACAAATTTCATGCCCAACAGCAGCAGCATTTGGATGGACTGTAGGATCTGGAGCAGGCTCCCTCAGAGGCTGATCGATAGGATCATCGCCTTCCTCCCCGCGCCGGCCTTTTTCCGGGCCAGAAGCGTCTGCAAGAGATGGTACAGCCTTCTCTTCTCCACCTCCTTTCTTCAACTGTACCTCCAAGTGTCCCCACACCCCCCCTGGTTCATCTTCTTCAAGCACAAGAACCAAATGAAGAGCAACATTATTTACAACAGCAGCAGCAGCAGCTATGGCGGGTGTTTCGGGAGCAGGGTGGCGGCGACACACGAGGAGGAGGGGTACCTCTTCGACCCCCACACCCTCGCGTGGTACCGGATCCCCCTCCCCTTGATCCCCCCGGGGTTTTCCCCCGCCACCTCATCCGGGGGACTCATCGGGTGGGTTTCACAAGAGGCGGGGTCGAAGAACATCCTCTTGTCCAATCCCCTGGTTGGGTCTCTGGTTCAAATCCCTCCAACCCTCAGGCCAAGACTCTTCCCCTCAATCGGAATGAACATCAGGGAAACCTCCATAGACTTGGCTGTGGCAGGGGACGACCTGATTTCTCCCTACGCCGTCAAGAATTTAACTGCGGAGAGCTTCCATATTGACGCCAATGGGTTCTACTCCATTTGGGGAACCGCTTCCTCTCTGCCCAGACTCTCCAGCTTCGAGTCCGGGCAGATGGTGCACTCGGAGGGCAGATTCTACTGCATGAACTACAACCCCTTCAGCGTCCTCTGCCATGACATTTCGTCGAACACTTGGTGTAAGATTCAGGCGCCCATGAGGCGGTTCCTCCGGTCGCCGAGCCTGGTGGAGAACGGCGGGAGGCTGGTCATGGTGGCGGCGGTGGAGAAGAGCAACCTCAACGTGCCGAGGAGTCTGAGGATGTGGGCCCTGCAGGACGGCGGCGCGTGGGCGGAGATCGAGAGGATGCCCCAGCAGCTGTACGGGCAGTTCGTGGAGGCGGAGAAGGGGGAGGGGTTCGACTGCGTGGGGCACGGGGAGTTCGTTGTGATCACGATCAAGAGGAGCTCCGGCGGCGGGAAGGCGGCTGTGATGTTCGATTTCAGGAGAAAGAGGTGGGTGTGGGTCCCGCCTTGCCCCTACGGCGGCGGCGGCGGCGAGGAGGAGCTGCATGGGTTTGCTTACGAGCCCAGACTGGCTGCGCCAATCACTGCACTTCTTGACCAACTCACGCTTCCCTTTCTGTCTTTCACTGCCTAATTTCATATTAATAATTTCAAGGAAGTTTTTTGTTTATTTTTGAAGTAATTATCATTATTAGCACCAAGTAAACTGGTCCTTAATCAATAGTAATTTAGATTATGGGTAGCTTAATATATATGGATGGATCATGGATGTACTAATTATAGCTAGGTTGGGAGCTTAATTTATTATCTCTTTAATTCCTTCCTATCATTGCCACAATCCTTATAAGATTTAATTTGCACTTCATAATCTCATCTCCAAAAATTCTAAAGAGCCATATGGGTAGAAATGGAGGATCCCGTGCCCTAATATATGCACAAATGCACCTCAGTGGATGGAGTTAAATCGTTGGGAGAATTCTTTTGGTAGACAAACAAGTTTTAAGTTTTAACATGCATATACTGAATTATGGTGCAATTAGGAACAAAGTGATCGAGCGTTTAGTGTTATTCTTTGAAAAATGTTATCAAACCTAACATTTTTAAAGTTAATTTAGCTACATAATTAAATTTTTATTCAAAATATTAACGCTTTAAGCACAACTGTAACCATCCATTTTTACTTTCAAATGTTTAATGAAAATATATCAATAAACAAAAATTATTGAGATGTAGATTAGTAGCCTTCATTTCATTTTAGGACAAATGAAGTATTTATTTGAGAGAAACACAATCTTTATTTAAGATAAAAGAGAATTAATTAAATCACGAGCAAAACAATGATGTATAACAGAAAAGGCCCATTAACTGTACTAGAGGGACTCAAATTTTAAGAAAAAATCCATAATGCCTGTTGAATTTCCTATTGGTACTTGCCAAGTGCCAATTGGTCCGTTACTTAAAAATTCAACTCTATCTTACAATTGTTGCAGCTGCTGCCATTATAGTCGAAGCAATTGCAACACCGCTGCCACCGCCACCCACATTGCTAACACCATCGAAACCAACATCAACGACGTCTCCACCAACACCAATAGTGTCTCCGTCAACATTGCAGCCAACGTCTTCATTATAGATCACAATACTTTTTTCTCACAATGTCCGCCACCATCATTGTCACCCCTCCTACCACTGGCGGTACCTCCACCTTTACACCACCACCGCCCCATCGTCACAGGTGACATCAACCATCGTCAGATATCTGCCACTCCTCTCATGCACGAGTGTTACTGTTATTGTTCCCCCTTCACCATCGCCCTCACTACACTATTGTCATCTTCGCTCTGCCCTGCCTCCACCATGAGATCTATGATGTTGCCCTTCTTTCTAAACACCATATCTATTACTGACCTTATTTACTGTCTAGATAAAGGACAATAACACAAAATAATTATGTCTTAATAGAAAACATGTTGTAATGTAGGAATAATAATATTGCTTATTGAATTATGAAGTACATGATAGAGTATATATATGACAGGCTCCTAACACAACTAGATTTAGAGAATAGAAACTAACTAAAATACAACATCTACCATAAATAGCAATAAGAAGTTGACTAATAATCAAACACTATCATAACCAATACTACCATAAGTAATACTATTATTATTGTCAAATATCCCCTTTCAAGCTGAACTCTGCTGAAGCAAGAAGAAGCTTGTACAATAGTTGGGAACTAGAAACCTTGAGAAGAGAGAAGTCTGACGTGTGCTGATTGTTGCTAACGTCGAAGAAGAAAAAGAGAGAGAAGCATGATGTGCACTGGTAGCTGCTAACGCCTTTGAAGAAAGGAGAAATTCGACGTGCGCTTGTAGCTGCTGACATCAAAGAAGAAGAATAGAAGGCTATTCGAAGTGTCTGCTTGACTGAAGATCGTTGACATTTTTATCTTTCTCTTAGATCCGCGCAATGCCCTGTTTCTTTTTCTTAATTGTGGAAATTTTTTATGACTTTCTTAATGGGGTGAGTTGTAGATGTATTCTTTACTCTTTCTCTATTTTCCCCTTTTGGCTTTGATTTTGTTTTAATTTGTTTTGGATTTTTATTGGTCTTACAGAAGAGAAAGAAAATGAAGATTGCTAAAGAATGAGTGATTGGAGAGTGGAAAAAAAGCAATATGGTTCGGCATGGATTTGAGACAATGGGGATTGATGGTGATGAGAAGCTCTTATAGGAATAACAATTGTACACTAGTTGGGAACTAGAAACCTTGAGAAGAGAGAAGTCTGACGTGTGCTGATAGCTGCTAACGTCGAAGAAGAAGAGAGAGAAGCCTAATGTGCACTGGTAGCTGCTAACGCCTTTGAAGAAGGGAGAAAGATGATGTGCGCTTGGAGCTGCTAACATCAAAGAAGAAGAAGAGAAGGCTATTGGAAGTGTCTGTTTGACTGAAAATCCTTGGCATTTTTTATCTTTCTCTTAGATACGCGCAATGCCCTGTTTCATTTTCTTAATTGTGGGAATTTTTATGACTTTCTAAATGGCGTGAGTTGTAGAGGTATTCTTTCCTCTTTCTCAATTTCCCCCTTTTGGCTTTGATTTTGTTTTGATTTGTTTTGGGTTTTTATTGGTCTTACAAAAGAGAAAGAAAATGAAGATTGATAAAGAATGAGTGATTGGAGAGAGGGAAAAAAAACAATATGGTTCACCATGGATTTGAGACAATGGAGATTGATGGTGATGAGAAGCTCTTATTGGAATAACAATTGTGAACAATTGAGAAAAAAGAAAAGAATATGATGGGTGATTATGGTGATCTCCAAAGAAGGAAAAATATCACCGATAGTGGTAGCTAGGGTTTAGAAGCAGAAGGAGGAAGAGGTAGTGATGATTGTACCAAAACGGCTACTAAGGCACTAAGAGCTGTATAGCTACTGCGGCTTCCACCTGTAGCAAATTGGTTTGTCTGACTCATTAGCGGCGGATGATTTCTCAAACGTCCAGTAGACCCGAGATACTTTAGTGGCACTCCTTTTTGCATACGAGGAAGAGGCGGTAGAGAGACGCATGTGAGACAACTGCGACATTCCTGGATGTGCACCCTTTTGACACTAGAAATAGAAGACGGGCGCCAACCTATTGCACAAGTCGCCTTTGATGATGTGAAGAAGAATAGAGAGGCAGTGCATTAAATCTGAGGCAGCGGGTGGTTTTTTTCTTGACTGGACAAAATTTTGTGGGTGGTAAGAAGGAAGAACAATGGCCTGACGGGTTGCTAATGATGGTGTTGCCCGCCAGGTGCAAAGGTAAAAAAAATTAGGCCACCAAGAACGGTGGCTCCAATACCATGTTGGAATGATGGAATAATAATATTGCTTATTGAATTATGGAGTACATGAGAGAGCATATATAAGAGAGACTTAACACAATTAGAAATAGAGAGTGGAAACTAACAAAAATACAATATCTACCATAAATAGGAATAAGAAGTTGACTAATAATCAAACACTACCATAAGTAATACTATTTTTATTATTGTCTAGCAAAGCAATAATGAAAATGGAGTCTAGTGTATCATCACTTATAGCTAGGGCTTTCAATGATAATCGAAAATCTGATTACCGTCCGCATTCGTATCCGTTTAAACGGGAATAATTCGCATCCGTTTTAAACTGATATTATCTGTATCTGATTAAGGACATCCAATTACTAAACAGATACAGATTTGGTAATTGTATATTCGATCCATTTAAAATCCGATCCAGATATGTATCCGTTTAAATACGCATTTATCCGAATATCTATTTTTCTGAGTGCCAAATTAAAATTATTTTAATAAATATAAATATCTACCGATCCCATAATACATATATACTTGGACCATATATCCAAAGATATACCTTATCCTCTAAGTCTCTAACCTTAATGTCTTACCTATACTTCCATAAAGTACTTGGTCAATTATGAATTCCTATTTTTTCGAAATCATTTGTTTTGGTTAAGTATTTACTATTTAGACAGTAGTTTTTTTTTATGTATTTGACATTGTTCAGTATTATGGATGTTGATATTCACTTTCACATTCCTTTTATAATCATTTCAATTTTTTATTAATGTTCTAAAACTGGATCAGACCTTGAATCGAACTAGCAACTGGGTCAAGGGTCAACCAGTTGAACCAAGTTGACTTAGGTCAACACGACCCATAGCTTGGTTTAAAATATTCATATTTATGTTTAAATAAAAATATTTACCAAGTTTTTAAAACTACTTTTAATTAAAATAAAATATTATCGCATAACATTAGTATGCATATAATCATAAATTATAGGAAGTTTATTTAAAGAAAAAATATAGATTATTAGAATTAGATATAGATTATTAAGAAACAAATGTATATTATGTAATGCTTACAAACACCAAACGTTTGATTTAGCCCAACTAGCTACAACTTTAAATTTTAAGGTTGGAGGTGTTGGGTTTGAATCTTTCTGCCCGCATCTTACAGTTTTATTTCTGGGTTTGAACATATTGTTATTCGGTCGGATTCAGATATGTAATTGAATCCGGATATATCCGAAATCGGCAATTATCCATGAGTTACAGATTCGGATATAGAAATATAAATATCCGTCGGATTCAGATATCTCAAAACTTAATCGGATTTTTTAAAGAAATGTAAACTCATTATGTTTTAATCATATCTTAGATATTTTTCTCAAAAGAGAAATGATACTCCGTGTTGACTGTAACGCCCCAAAAATAGGCCTATCAGAGTTAATTAATTTATAATTAATTAATTACTGAGAAGGACCCAAAAGTAAGTAAATCCTAAAGTTTGTCAATAAATAATGAAAATCATATCAATGTGTAGAGTTTGACTGTCTGATCCCAACGATTCAATCGGATTTCAATTTGGAGAAAGTTGGACCAAAAAGTGTACGCGATTGGGACCAAAATTAGTCCCAATCAGGGACTTACTTTTGCAGCCCGTAGAAATAGCCGCTCCCTCCACTGAGACGCCACAACAGTAGCAAGGGAGTCATCAACCATCTCTTCTTCCCCTTCCCCTCTTCTATATAATGGAAACAAAAACTTCACCATTTCTTCACCATTCTTCATCAAATTCGTTCTGGGAGATAGCCTTGAGTGTGGAGAACGCAGTGGTGCTGTCAATTTGGTGTAAGGTCGCCGGACTTGAGAGCTATCGTCACCGGAAGTTTCGTCAGAAAATC